CAGTGGTATATCTAATTATGTCAATAACAATACCTCACGACATTAAACGGAGGTGTAGATTGCCACTTTAAACGAAATTAGTGTCGGTAACTCATTCAAAATACAGAACATACCAGTATCACTTAAACTTACACAAAAGTTTGAAAGCATCACGGAAGGATTATATGGGGGGGGGGGGGGGGGGGGGGGGNTAATGAACTTCTGAGAGCTGTTTAAAAAAGAGATTAAAACCAAGTTTTCAGCTCACCTTATCTACACCTGAAATTGACAGTTATATAAACACACGTCAATCATTACACTGATAAGTTAATATAGGTGTAATATAGTGACTACGCCAAAAGACAACGGGATATCTCCAAAGGTATTGATGAATGGAAAATAATTTTTTTTTATATATTTACACAAGTTCATTTGCCGCCAGTTTTAACTCGACTGCAACTGCAATTGCCAATACTTCCATGTACCAGTTAATAAACAGTTATTATGCACGAATAGTAACAATTTATTATACCTCGCCAATATCCTCCAGTTATTTCAACCGGGCAGTACTATTCCATACACACATCTCCAACACATATCATATATCACATGATTATTCGACATACAACACTCAAATGGCATTATGTTTTATCTTATGAAAGAAATGAAATTTAAAGCGCTTGTATTTTATTTCCCCGGGAAATGATATTTTAGCATGGGTCCAAACGTAAAAACAACTTTTCATATACGCGGTATATGCTAACGTCTGTCCTGTCTCAACATGGTTGTGACGACAACCACAAAATTAATGGAAATGTGCTAGATGTGATAAGCCGTTGACCACTGTAAATATGTACATACAGGAGGCCATAAAATCACCTTTTATCTCACTAAAGAATACCGTTAAAAGGTTTTCATTAACGTCTCTTGGCAGGTTAGTTCCTCATCCAGATCTTTCTGTACAAATGTAGAATGAAGTTGTTCATATATCTGTAATAAGAAGTATTATTTGCAATGTATAATACCACAATGTGTTTTTCATTTGTGTCACACGTGAACAGCTCTTATAGTTTGAAGATAGCCTATAGCTTTACTGTTCTCCTCATATTTGTCTATCACTTTATTTATAATAAATCATTAATTGTATGGTACCAAATCGCCATTCGATTGGTGCATTTGCTAACAATAGAGAATTTGTGTTTTACATTTGCCGAGCAAAGCGAGACACATTTTATCCTGCGCCACCCTTCCTGTTTCAACTCAAAGTATAATTTGCAAAACCTTGTTATTTCTAACTTATTTTCGAACTGGTCATTTTAAGTGACGTCGCATTCTACAAACATGTTGCCTACCGCATTCGAAAAGGACATCTTTTTTTTTTCAAATGAAAGTCAAAGAAATTACGTTGTAGCTTAATACCACAATCCAACGTTAAATAAATCCTCTCTCGAGCGTGCGCACGCCTTCGCATGCAAAAGCAATAAGGTTACAGACAGACTACACCTGTTCCCTGTGCACCTACAGTAACTATGTCATTTTTCTTTGTTTCCTCTAATGTCAAAATACAACTTTTTATCTATTACAGAGAGAGAGAGAGAGAGAGAGAGAGAGAGAGAGAAAGACGCTGTTTCTACAGTGAACTTGAACTGTCAATGCGCATAAAGCTTAAATTTTTCCTGTGAAAAATGTAATTTTATGTAATCTGTGTCGACGATATATTGTTTAAGGCTCTACTTGCCTTTCATATCGTAATTTTTCTACTGGTTATAACAAGATAACAAAGATGAAGAGGAATGTTCAATGACTCAATAATATACATAAAAATCACGAATCATTCGATTTCACGAGAGCACAGAGAGAAAGCCGTCTCCAAGACATACCCCCACCCACTCCATAATACCGTGTCTTCAGAATCATTAACAGACTATGCCTCATTTCGTGAGTTCAGAACTAACGGTCAAAATCTGGTATTTGAATTGAACTCCTTTCATGCAGAAAACCAGATTATTACCATTGGTTTGAATGAATAGTAATAAAAAGTACTGAGTGAAACTATTTCTGGCAATCAAGTTAACATTCGTACCTGCTACGTCAGTCTTTGAATCAAAATGGATGTAAATAGTTTATACGTTTTTAATTATGGTCATTTAATTTGCATCAGTACTTGAAATACACGTAAGGTAAAGCTTACACAAAAGGAGATCTAATGACAGAAGTCCAGTAACAGAAACACCCTTCCTCGTCTTAATACATGTATGTACACATTAGTTGGGCCAAAGAGGGCAGTCCTGGGAAAGTTCCGTGCGTTTAATTTTTAAAATTAAAATAGATCATGATGAAATAAGAAATCTTAAACAAAATTTAATTTTGAAGGAATTAAATTTTGTTTTAATTAACACCCATTGTACATTGTACATTGTATGTACACACATTGTGCATTGTACATTGTATGTACATTATGTAGAATACATATATATTTACTACTATCTCTCTGTCAGTTATTAAACTCATCACACAAATCTATGAGTTGCAGAAGATACAGGTATATCTAATTATGTCAATAACAATACCTTACGAGATTTTGGAGGTGTAGATTGCCGCTTTAAATGAAATTAAATTGGTGTCGGTAACTCATTCAAAATACAGAACATATAGACTAATAAGAGTATCACTTAAACTTGCACAGAAGTTTGAAAGCATCACGGAAGGATTATTGGGGAGGGGGGGGGGCAAGGCCATCCGGGCACATTTACGTCTTAGAAGCACTCGAGCTTCAATGGAATAATGCTCGCCTGCAACGCGGGCAGTCCGTGTTTGATTCCCAACAGATGCAAAATCTGTTAAACCGACAACTATTTGGAAAAAATGATGTGTATTAATCCTGTCTTTAGAAACGTATTCTTTGCACAAGGGAGTTTCCTGGGTAGAATACTTTATGGTACGGCAGCTATGGATATGTTTCTAAATGAATTCCTGGGTGGCAGGCTTTGTCAGTGATGCGCTTTTATAACTGTTCTCTGATAACTACAAGAAACTTTTGTTATTTGTTCTAAAAACTGCTTGTAAAAGAAAAAAGAACCAGAAACAGACCTCTTTCAGGTTGTTTTACTTCGACCAAGTGTAGTATAGTTGTTCTCAAAAATTGCACATAGTTGGTGCCAAAATAAATCCTAGTTAGCATGTGGCCCATCCTAAATGCATGGCTCAATTTTTGGGGCCCACCCCTAGCCTTTTAGTAGACAAAAAGAATGTAACCCACCCCTACTGATTCCGCCCCCCCTCCCCCCTCTCCCCCCGATATATAGCAATTGCTTTTTATAAGCACCTCGATATTAGGAATCGTTAATTCATAAAAAGGTAAATGGATACTGAATACATATATAAATAATCTAACAGTGTGTAGAGGGTACACGTTGTCTGCCCACTGGATAGGACATAGGCCTACATGTAGAACACATTGGAGTAGAGGGAGGGGGAGTACTCTGAGGCCCTTCTGGCTGTTACTAAATTCATCCCAATAGAAGTATATATATATCAATGCACCTTGAAAGATCTACATTATAGTTATTAAATACAATCCGAGCTTTCGGCCCCTGGACCTTCTTCGGGGATTAAAAATACTTCTATTTTTATCAAGATCTATACGGGGAATCAACACGAATCCTTAAATTCATCCCAGGAACGAGTCGAGCTTTGGTTGGTAACAAGAAAAAAATTCCATTTGGTAGCTTCAATTAAATTTTTAAAGATAAAAATACTATCGAATGATTTAATATCAAAATAAAGATTTATAAAAATCGCCACCTTTGGAATCTCTGGTTTGAGCATCACTTCCTGTCAGCTTTATTACTAAAGACAATCTAATTTGCATATAAGAGAAAAATGCAGTTTTTTGTTTGTTTTGGGTTCATTACACATTTTTTTCATAATTTTCAAATATAAATGTTCCTTTTTCACTGATACATTTATGAATATTTTATCAGTACGCGCAATTTATTATTTAAACAATCATAAATAACCATCATATCCCAAGTGTATATGACGTAATCTCTCCCAGGTCATAAAAGTGGTAAAATAGCGATGATTGCCGCCCAGCTGGTGAAGTAGGTCAATTGCCTGTATAATACTGCCATACGATTATCGATTTTTTCTAGTGTGGAACATTTTAGGGGGAAGACGGTGAGAGAACGTTATCAAGTTACCAAAAAATATTTGACATAAATAAAGTTACCGAAAGCAAANCTTCGGGGATTAAAAATACTTCTATTTTTATCAAGATCTATACGGTGAATCAACATGAATCCTTAAATTCATCCCAGGAACGAGTCGAGCTTTGGTTCGTAACAAGAAAAAAAATTCCATTTGGTAGCTTCAATTATATTTTTACTGATAAAAATATTATCGAATGATTTAATATCAAAATAAAGATTAATAAAAATCGCCACCTTTGGAATCTCTGGTTTGAGCATCACTTCCTGTCAGCTTTATTACTAAAGACAATCTAATTTGCATATAAGAGAACAATGCAGTTTTTTGCTTGTTTTGGGTTCATTACACATTTTTTTCATAATTTTCAAATATAAATGTTCCTTTTTCACTGATACACTTATGAATATTTTATCAGTACGCGCAATTTATTAGTTAAACAATCATAAATAACCATCATATCCCAAGTGTATATGACGTAATCTCTCCCAGGTCATAAAAGTGGTAAAATAGCGATGATTGCCGCCCAGCTGGTGAAGTAGGTCAATTGCCTGTATAATACTGCCATACGATTATCGATTTTTTTTTAGTGTGGAACATTTTAGGGGGAAGATGGTGAGAGAACATTATCAAGTTACCAAAAAATATTTGACATAAATAAAGTTACTGAAAGCAAAGTATATTGTAATATTTTACAAAGTTAAAAAAGAGTCCCAATTATTTAATTTCACAGTGTATAATTTTGCAGATATCGTGAGACATTTTTATTTCATCTGCCTCTCCCTAAAATGGCGCTGACCGCGTTAACTCTTCAACTCCCGGGAAACGCAGAGAATCCAGCGCGTTGTGACAGCATGAGAACAGATATGTAGACATAGGAGCTGGGGTGGATTAAGAGAGAGTTAACCCCCCCCCCCCTCTCACACACACCCATTTTCCAATCAGCAGGGAGAGTATGTTGTGGACTAACATTGTAAACTCTCCCTCAGCTCCAGGGCGTATATAAAGATGAAAAGCTATGTGCTTGCACCACTATTTCTACCCGGCAACCGCGGGCACGTCTTGAGAACAATAAGCGGGTTACTCGTAGTGGACAGTGGTCAACAAGTCAGGAAGATCACACTAGGGACACTTAGGTAAACTGACCATTGGTGATGGGGTCATCAGTTGACCACAATACAGAGGTCACTGTTAGTGGGTTGTATTTGCATTTTCATAGATTTTGTATCAATAGTTTGTATATGGTATCATAATCAGTAATTTATACCCGTGTATATAAAGCCCAGTGAGAACAGAGGGAAGAGATACAGGGGCGAATCCAGGATTATTTAAAGGGGTAGGGTCCGTCTTTTTAGGAATGACAGGCAGCGGATGCAAAGCCGACCCTCGACCCCCCCTCCTCCACCCTCATTGGCGTGGGGTTGGGACCCCACTGAAGGGTCCTGAAATTTTTTTTGTATTTTAGAGGGCCAACGGTGCCATTTAGTATTGTTTGGAAATATGATTCAGCAAGTCAAAAGTTTAATTTCAGAAAGGGACCACTGGTGTGATTTTTTCCAGAAATCAAAGGGGGTCAGGATCCCACTGACACCCCCCTAAATCCGCCACTGATTTTGGTTTAAGCAAGCCCCTAAGAAGGAATCATTAAAAATGTTCATATGTGTAAAAGCAATTGCGACGATGTAAATTTTTAGAAAAAATACAGTATTTGGCAAATAATTCTGCAAAGAAGATACCACTTTGCTGAACGCAGTTTGCAGGTGGTAAGACAGGGGCAGTTCCAGGATTTGAAGAGGGGGGGGGGCAGTTTTTTTTTACGAATTACAGGCCTTGGATTCGAAGCTGACCCTTGGCCCCCTTGCAGTAAGGTTCAGGACCTGCTGAAGGGCCCAAATATATTTTGGTGTTTTGGAGGGCAAAATCGGGCCATTTAGAATGGTTAAGAACTATAAATCAGCTAGTTTAAATTCCGATTTTGAGAGGGGGAAATTAGTGGTTTTTTTTGTTTTTTTTTATGTAGAAACCGAAGGACCCCCCCAATCCCCCTCTAAGACCCCATTCCCATAGATTTTAGATCGATCTATCCCTGTGGGGAGTCTCACTAGATTACTGTCAGCTTTGCCGGCTTAAGCGTCTGTCCCGCCTACTAAAAGCTGTAAGGGGGTAATTAACTATGGTACGCGCTCGGCTGACTGCAATTTAGCGTGAACCCCCAGGGAGTTAGGTTGATCTAAATCTAAATCTCTGGATCGATCTAAATCTCTGGGAATGCACCCTAAATCTACCACTGGGTTAGCCTTTTTTTAACCACTAAACTTCCCATGTTTTGTCATTTTGATTTGGTCACGTATTTAATTATTTATTATTATTATTGTTAGTATTGTTATGCTAGAATTTAATTTGTTGACTACAGCTCAGCATTCCTTATGAGTAACTGATACAGAATGTTGACAGAGTTAGGTGGACTGTTGTGTTGTGTTGATTGATAACTTCTTAAAATATTGAAATGACACTCTTTGAACTGGGAGAGAAGAGGGATTGTAAAAATTCACCAGGTGTGATTAACAACAATTTCTAACATTTTTCAATCTGTAGTAGAATGCAGACAAATGGAACAAAATATAAATAATGGTTGTTTGCAAATTTATTACTTATGACATGCAATTGAAATATTTAGTATAAAAGTTTAAGAATCAATTTTTGTCCAGTGACAGAGTTTAAGATGTACATTATTACCATGTTTTTTTTTGTTTTTTTTGCTGTGTTGTCTGTCCTAGAATCATTATGCAAAAAGTTATAAATACAGTTTGATGACATTTGTAAAAATTGAGGGGACCAGGTAACAAGTTAACAAAAAAAAAAAAAAAAAAAGGATTTTGGTAGTGATCCATTTCTTAATATGTAGTTCATTTATAAAATAAATCTGTTTATCAGCTCATTTAGCAAAAAGGGACTTAGGGATTTTGTGTGTGTGAAACAGAGAAAGAAAAACAGAGCCAGGGAGAGAGAGAAAAAGAGAAAAACAGCCAGAGAGAGAGAGAGAGAGAGAGAAAGAAACAGAGAGACTCAGAGAGAGACTCAGAGTGAAAGAGCAAAAGAGAAAGAGAGAGTGTGTGTGTGTGTGTGTTTGTGAAACGAAACGATTTCATTTTACCCCCTAATTTGTATGGAAAAGACTGCTGGTACNTTTTTTTTACGAATTACAGGCCTTGGATTCGAAGCTGACCCTTGGCCCCCTTGCGGTAGGGTTCAGGACCTGCTGAAGGACCCAAAAATATTTTGGTGTTTTGGAGGGCAAAATCAGCTAGTTTAAATTCCGATTTTGAGAGGGGGAAATTAGTGTTGTTTTTTTTTCTTTCTTTTTTTTTTTTTTTGTAGAAACCGAAGGACCCCCCAATCCCCCTCTAAGACCCCATTCCCATAGATTTTAGATCGATCTATCCCTGTGGGGAGTCTCACTAGATTACTGTCAGCTTAGACGGCTTAAGCGTCTGTCTCGCCTACTAAAAGCTGTAAGGGGGTAATTAACTATGGTGCGTGCTCGGCTGACTGCAATTTAGCGTGAACCCCCAGGGAATTAGGTTGATCTAAATCTAAATCTCTGGATCGATTTAAATCTCTGGGAATGCACCCTAAATCTACCACTGGGTTAGCCTTTTTTTAACCACTAAACTTCCCATGTTTTGTCATTTTGATTTGTTCACGTATACATTTATTTATTATTATTATTGTTAGTATTGTTATGCTAGACTTTAATTTGTTGACTATAGCTCAGCATTCCTTATGAGTAACTGATACAGAATGTTGACAGAGTTAGGTGGACTGTTGTGTTGTGTTGATTGATAACTTCTTAAAATATTGAAATGACACTCTTTGAACTGGGAGAGAAGAGGGATTGTAAAAATTCACCAGGTCAGATTAACAACAATTTCTAACATTTTTCAATCTGTAGTAGAAAGCAAACAAATGGAACAAAATATAAATAATGGTTGTTTGCAAATTTATTACTTATGACATGCAATTGAAATATTTAGTAATTAAGTTTAAGAACCAATTTTTGTCCAGTGACAGAGTTTAAAATGTACATTATTACCATGTTTTTTTTTCTGTGTTGTCTGTCCTAGAATCATTATGCAAAAAGTTATTAATAGAGTTTGATGACATGTGTAGAAACTGAGGGGACCAAGAAACAAACAAACAAACAAAAAAAAAGGATTTTGGTTGTGATTCATTTCTTAATAAGTAGCTAATTAATAAAATTCATCTGTTTATCAGCTCATTTAGCAAAACAGGTCTTAGGGATTTTGTGTGTGAGAAACAGAGAGAGAAAAACAGAGCCAGGGAGAGAGAGAAAAAGAGAAAAACAGCCAGAGAGAGAGAGAGAGAGAGAGACTCAGAGTGTAAGAGCAAAAGAGAAAGAAAAGAGAGTGTGTGTGTGTGTGTGTGTGTGTGAAATGAAATGATTTCATTTTACCCACTCATTTGTATGGAAAAGATTGCTGGTACTCTTGGAATAATTGTTTTAGAAAGTGAAAAGTTTTGTGAATTTTGTCTATAACAAAGTGACATGAAACCTAGGAAATATTACTGATGTGAACATTTCCCTTTTTTAATAAGACCAAAATCAGCTGGGATTTTAAAATTGTTTTTATTAATTTGTTTTATACTTTTCAGTTAGAACTCATTTACCTCTAAGGATCCGAAGTAATTGGAATATTTCAAGCTGCCCAAATGTCTGAACGCATTATAACCCGTTTTAAATAAAGCAAGACAACTACAGGCCATGCTTGCAGCTTCTTATGAATACCACCATAATTACTGAAGACAGTGATTTCTTTTTGTATTTTTAAGTATCACATATAAACTGACAATTGTTTCTCAGGAAAACTAGCCATATCCAGACATTTGCTTGGTACTGCGCACCTTCTGTGACATTCCATCCCTTGATATTACAATTTGGATTAAGAAACTTGCATAATTAAAGAATTGGCATATCTATTTTATTTAAATGTAAAAATGCTGAAATGTAGAAGCAAAAATATAATACTCAGTAATTGAGCTGTTTTTGGGTAAGTACATATACCACTGTTCATGTATGTATCTATAGTTAAATGTTTCAATGTAAAAGAAATAAAATAAGAAATGTGATTAAACATTTTGAGATAAATTAGCTAGCACTGGGATCAGGGAGTCAGAATTTTTTTAAATAAAGTAATTGATGTAGTACTTCATTTATTGTGCATTGGAATAAAGTAATTGATGTAGTGCTTCGTTTATTGTGCATTGGAATAAAGTAATTGATGTAGTATTTTATTTATTGTGCATTGGAATAAAGTAATTGATGTAGTACTTCATTTATTGTGCATTGGAATAAAGTAATTGATGTAGTACTTCATTTATTGTAATTAAAGGTCAGTGGTAATAAGTACTTAGCAATGAGGTGATGACTTTTTCATTATTGATATGTCTTAATGTTATAATTATTGTTATATCTCACACACTACATTCATAAGTAATGATCAATATAGCTATCTTGAGCATAATCAGGGGAAAAAAAAAAATAAAAATAAAATAAAATAATAATCCTGTCTGTTGTAATTGGAAGATCAGCAGATTATAATGTTAGGGACATGAAATGGATGTGAAATGTTTGTTAATAAAGTTTTTAACATTGTGGTTGAGAGATTCCTGGGTTCAAAGCACTGCCTTTTTGCTGGAAAAGGTCCACTCTTAATCAGAATTTAATCTAGGCTCTTTCTCAAGTTTGGACAACTATTGGGGTAAGGGCCATTCCGTGGTATGTGGTCCGCAGACCTCAAAATTTGAAAAAGGAATCCTACTTATAAAACTTATAATTTCTGAAACCAGACACCATAAGACACCAGAATCCAAAAGAAATTTTAGGTTTTGATGATTAATAATGATTTTATTGACACTTTTATCTGGAAAACTTATAAAATAGTGTCACGGAAGGACATTTTTATTTTTGATATATTTTTATGTACAGACACAGATGTNAACATTGTGGTTGAGAGGTTCCTGGGTTCAAAGCACTGCCTTTTTGCTGGAAAAGTCCACTCTTAATCAGAATTTAATCTAGGCTCTTTCTCAAGTTTGGACAACTATTGGGGTAAGGGCCATTCCGTGGTATTTGGTCCGCAGACCTCAAAATTTGAAAAAGGAATCCTACTTATAAAACTTATAATTTCTGAAACCAGACACCATAAAACACCAGAATCCAAAAGAAATTTTAGGTTTTGATGATTAATAATGATTTTATTGACATTTTTATCTGGAAAACTTATAAAATAGTGTCACAGAAGGACATTTTTATTTTTGATATATTTTTCATAATAGAGATCATTTTAAACAATAAAGGCTAAATACATTAAATATAACTTATTTCTTACATTTAGTCAAGTGTATTAGATTAAAAAATATTTGATTATAAAATAATGGATTAATTAATATCAACTTGTCGTTCCGTGACGATTTTGGTACCTATTTTTTAAGTTTTCTCAGTAACTACAAAAGCTAAAAACTTATAACTTCATATTCTCCTCAACCATGATAGGGGCCAACAAAATACAAAAACATTTTTGCTTAGAACCACTTCAATAAGAAATTTAATCCAAATATATGAGCATTAAACATGACACCTAGCGCAGTGGAAGCACGTATGGGGCATTTTGATTGGACAATAACAGGTCATGTGACCAATGAGCCCTAAACCCTTATGTCTTTCAAGATAATCTTATACTTAAAATTCACAATTATTATATATAGAAGCATTTTTAAACTGAGAAACATTTCATTTGAATGAATAATTTTGAAGTTATTATAATTTAGACAATTGATTATATTTATAATTAATAGATTTGGTAAGATTTTCTTCAAAAATGTCCTAATATTATTTAAAGATGATCAGAGCAGATGAGAACTTATATTATAGTCAAAAATAGTAACATGTTTGAAGATGAAATATATTACCATGGAAGGACATGTTTACCTTTGATATTATTCATCAAACTTATGCTGGTATGTATTCATAAAATATTATTATTAGCCTTATTTTACATTTTATTTAGCAATGGACAAAATGTCCTCCCAAGACGCGTCCTTCCATGACGCCTACTTGATGTTTTTATATGCAAAATTTTCAAATTTATTATTTTTTTTCCCAAAAAATTTTTATACATTGAGAAAGTGAAATAATCAAATATTCATATTTTGATTTGACTTTAAAAATATCTACACAGACAGAGCAGAATTTTAGTGTTGAAGTTGAAAGTTAAAATTCCATGTCCATTTCACGTCCTTCCGAGACGCTAACTATCCATTATAATGTTTTCGTAACTATAATTTTTTTAAACCTAATTTTTTGCTTAATTATAACTTACATATAGAAGAATAAACATACAAAAAATGGACCTTGTAACTTTTTTACTTTTGAAAATATTTTCATTTGAAGTGTCAAATGTCCTTCTGTAACAGCAAAAAAATACCATGGAATGGCCCGTAAAAAAAGGCAACTTTTCAGTAAAAAAATAAACCCTTTGGAACTGCTTGCCTGTTGTTTCAAATGCCTTAAAATAAGAATGGCTATTATAATGCTAACTTAAACTTTTTAATTTAGAAAAGAAGGAAAAACAAAACTCATTTGATTACAGAAAATTGCATTTTTATTGTAAAACTAAGAGAATGATATACTGAAGTTTTTAAATTGACTGCCACAGAGGTAAAAATACTCTAGTAGTTCTGCACTGTCCTCCCTGAAAAATAAGAAGATAAAAACATTAAAATATAATTCACTTAAAACGTCTTAGTTATTAAAAGGCAGCAATCCAACAACTACCAGCTCTTGGCTGCTATCATATAATAACTGCCATTAAAATACAATTTTTACCAGTTGTTTGACATAGTTTGCCTCTTAAAAACTTCAACTTAGCTATGATGCCATCCAAAGAAGGAAGCAAACAAAACTTTCATATGACAGTAAAATAAATCTGTTCTTTTGAAAATGATGTCAAATTTTCCTAATTTCTGAATGTTTGAAGTGATAATTTTTATTTAATAATAATAATGAATAATAATAATAACCATTTATGTCCTTGACCTGCGCCTAAAGCAGGACGTAAAAAGATTAAATAATCTCCGCCACCGTGAAGGACGGCGATCCTTGGGTGCTGAAATATATGACAAAACATTACTCCGTAAAATGCTATAATATATTATAACCTTCAATATACAGTCTGTGCACCATCTTATTTCATAAATAAATGAACATTGAAACACATTTACCACTGTTAAGAATAATCAAATTTTGAATTTCAATTAATACTTGCCAAGAGAACAAATACTAACTGTTTGCACAACATAAGGAGTGTATGTATGTGTGTGTGTGTGTGTGTGTGTGTGCATGCAAGTGCATGCACAGTCACATTTTAACACTGTAATAAGTAGATACCTATTATATAGACCCTGCCGTCTTACCTCTCTCCTTCACGTCCTCTATCACAAATTTTGTGTTTTTGACATTAACTGAAGAAAAAAATGGAATACAAAATAATTCTGTCCATGAGCATAACAAGGATATCATACACAGACAAAGATACAATAATGAATAAGATCACCTAACAGTGAATTAACACAATGATTGTGTATGAGAGCCTGCTTCTGTGTGTGTGTGTGTGTGTGTGTGTGTGTGTGTAAACTTTTTGGGTGTGTTTAAATGGACCTAACTTTCTTACCTCTTTTCTTGATTTCCTCAGCAAGTGACACACTGTTTGTGTCTTTAATGTTGGCTGAAGCAAAAAATATGGAATGGAAACCAAATGAAACAAAATCCATGTTCAAACGGAATTCGGGCACAAATACGGAATTACATTGGTGAAAACACATTCAAATACAATTCACTTAAAATAAATTTGGATCTTCTTAAGTATGCTAAAGACAAGACTTTGGATAAGCAACGTGGAGTGTGTGTGTACTGTGTGAGAGTGCATGTTAGTGCGTGTGGACGCATGTGCATTACTGAGTTTCTGGTCTCACCTATCTCCTCAATACTTTTAACAACTGTTAAAACTGTTGCATATTTCTTGTCTTTGGTATCAACTGAAAGAACAGAAGCAAATTTAAAGGAGTGCAAATCATGTTCAATCTTTACACAGTAAAAGCATGGATTTTTCTGAAAATATATAAAGAGTGTGTGTGTGTGCAAGTGTGCACATTTGTAGATTTCATATGTGTATTTAAATAATAAATATTTTACTGAGATTCCTGTCTTACCAGTCTCTTCAGTGTTAGGAGCCTTTACTCTGTTATCATCCTTGGTATCAACTGAAACAGAATAATTAAAATGAAAAGGAATACAATTTATATTGAATCTAAGTTNGTGTGTGTGTGTGTGTGTGTGTGTAAACTTTTTGGGTGTGTTTAAATGGACATAACTTTCTTACCTCTTTTCTTGATATCCTCAGCAAGTGACACACTGTTTGCATCTTTAATGTCGGCTGAAGCAAAAAATATGGAATGGAAACCAAATGAAACAAAATCCATGTTCAAACAGAATTTGGGCACAAATATGGAATTACATTGGTGAAAACACATTCAAAGACATAACTCACTTAAAATAAATTTAGATCTTCTTAAGTATGCTAAAGACAAGACTTTGGATAAGCAACGTGGTGTGTGTGTACTGTGTGAGAGTGCATGTTAGTGCGTGTGGACCGTGTGCATTACTGAGTTTCCGGTCTTGCCTATCTCCTCAATACTTAGAGTTTTAACAACTGTTGCATATTTCTTGTCTTTGGTATCAACTCAAAGAACAGAAGCAAATTTAAAGGAGTGCAAATCATGATCAATCTTTACAAAGTTAAAGCATGGATTTTTCTGAAAATAAAGAGTGTGTGTGTGTGCAAGTGTGCACATGTGTACATTTCATATGTGTATTTAAATAATAAATATTTTACTGAGATTTCTGTCTTACCTGTCTCTTCAGTGTTAGGAGCCTTTACTCTGTTATCATCCTTGGTATCAACTGCAACAGAATAATTAAAATGAAAGGGAATACAATTTATATTGAATCTAAGCTTAACATGTTACCTTACGGCAGTAGTAATGTAATTACAGGTAAGTCAGAAACAAGAGAGGATGTGTTAGTCAGTTATATTTTTTTATTAATCTGATTGCATTCTGAAGTTTCCATGGAGTAAGTGCGCATTGGCTAGGTAGACAAAATTGACCAAATTCATTGTGAATGGTCCCTGGTAATCAACAGCTTCAAGGGTCAAGACTTGCACCCTGAGAGTTAAGGTGTTTGTAGTCAAAAACATAGATAATTTTACTTCAAGATTCCTTGCAAATAGTGAGAATGAACAAACACACCAAGTAAATTGCTAAAATCAACTGAATTATTACCTGCAATTTGCTTATCACTGGTGTGGACTTCAGGTTCATATGTGTAGTTAGACTCTGGAATAAGATGCATACATTTTTTGTTATTCACAAATTATGATATAGACATTGAGAATGAAATAGTCTAAATTTCATTTGATAGAATTAAAGGACCATTTCTTTCCATATCTTACATTTATAGAATAATAATGTTAATTCACTTTTTCTTTCCATTAGTTAGATTTAATAGAATTATAAGACCTTTTATTTCCATGTCCAGTTCTCCCCATGTACAGGTCACTTCCATGCTGTCCTTGGTGGTCACCTGGAGGCACCTGTTCCTAAAGGGTTCAGGCTCCCATATCCAGCCAGACCCAGGGTGGTAAGGCTTAATAAATAAATAAATAAATAAATAAATAAATAAATAAATAAATAAATTGAAGATAAGTTAATGCCTGAAATGAAAAAGAAAATCCAAATGAAAAGATACATATATTTAAAATTTGACTAATCAAAAACATTGTAATCTACAAGAAATGAATGAAACTAAAAGAACAGTTAAATTTGTTGAACTTAGATTTTCTTTTTCAATAAAAAGGAAAATTATTTTTATCTCAGTTCATTTGTCATTACAAATAAATTAATATAATATAAGGGTATGGTAAATCTCAAAAAAATTCCATAACAGGTGTTTTCTGAGGCGAAATTGGATGCTGAACACAAATCTGACAATCATTTTTTTCTAAAAAAATTATTAAGGCCGGTAAAATGACAATTTTCAAAATGGCAGCCAAAACGGCCTACCCAAAGCTTCATTAACAACAATTAAAGGTATTATGGTGTGTCATATGTCTTTTGTTATGTTTTTGGGGTTGTAGAATCTATTTCTGATGTTAATACTGAGATTGGTACATTTTACAGTGAGTTCAGTTAATGTCAGCTGACAGTTAACTGTCAAGCTAGAGTGAAGAGCCAGAAACTTCGATAATGGGGGAAATGAACAACCTCAGTCATCTTGATCAATCAAAATGAGGAGTGATATGATTTCCCAACATCTGTTGGAAGGGAATCATAATGAAGAATAAATTAACCTTACCATAAAGTAAATATTTTACAATAGGATGGATGATACACTTTTACATTTTTACATGATTTACATGTATGAAGCCGGAAGACATAATTCACATCCAGCAGAACTTCAGATATCTTATCACTCCTCGTTTTGACTGACTGAGATCTGGCTCTTCTTTTAAGCTTGATAGTAAACTATCAACCAACAAGGTAACCAAACTCAATTTAAAATGTAACAATGGCATTGTTAACATAAGAATAAAAATTTTACAACCTTAAAAACATAAGAAAAGGCATAATAAAAACATAGGTTCCTTTAATTGTTGATGTTGAAACTCTTGTCAGGGCATTTTGTCCTCCATTTTAAAATTGTCATTTTACCATCCTAAATGGCTGTTGTGAGAAAAAAATAGTTGCACATGTGTGTTTAGCATCATTTTATGCCATATAAAACATTCACTTATTAAAAATGTGTGCTTCACTCAACAATTTTCAATACAATTATATGCATACATATAATTACTACAGTTACTGTATATGCAGTGCATATGCTTTGTATGCGTTTTCAAAAATAGTAAAATTACCGACCTAAAGAATGCTCCTAGCTCAAATTTCTCATCAGAAATGAACTTTTTGGCCCATTTTGCCTCTAAAATCACATGTTCCCTGAGAGATTTCCAAAAAAAAAAGTTATTATTTACCCTACCCTAATAATATACTTACGTNTGATGATGAAAAACCGAAAATTTCATTCAACTTTCTGTACACTGGGTGTCATCTTCAGTCAGGGCATTCTTAAATGGTAATTCTGCCATGATTGCAAAACGTCATCAGGATAAAACATTTGAAATGAAGGATACGTATGTGATATCGACTGTGTCAGTTGTTCACTGTTCACATCACGATGCAATGTGCTTGTCACAATGTGACGATAGCATGATATATAGACTTAGCTGCAGATAATAAGTGGTTTTGGAAAACAGACGAGATTGAATGCCGTCATCCACTTTAACTTTTTCATCTGTAATGATGCAACATTTTGCGATGGCAGGTGAGATGATTGTAAATCAGAGCACAACTGACGTTTTGTCTTCTTTTGTAAATACAATTTCCTATTGTTCTTCTTGAGTCATCTGAAGAGTTCCAACGCAAAATGATCGCCGACGGGGTTCCTGTAAATACCCGGAACATAATCATCAACGACCTATATGCTCTTTTGCGCTCCCAGACTGAAGACAACTATTCCATCATACTACAATGTTGCGAACAAAAATGGCCCCCAGTATTATGAAATATTTTGTCGATGATATCGGAATAAGAACCAATCAGTAAGAAGAGTTTAAGTGGCTGCTTCATGACATACAAGGTTGGAAAGAAGCCCCCACCGATTGTGCGGAACAGAACACTCTACTTGGGACACGGAATACCCTGACAGCAGCTACGGAACGGAACATACAGACAACGGCCACGGAATGGAACACTTTACTCACTTTAATCGATGGGACATCAGGGACATCAGCTACAGCGGAGAAGTGTCAATCCCGGCTGATAGGAATATTATTAATGAAAATTTGAACATCAGAGACCGCGATATAATCACTGACCCTTGTGGTTGGCTGAATGGAACGATAATCGACGCTTGTCATGATATAACATTAAACACCAATTCCCGCTTCCAGAAGGACTCTAGTCATGTACACTGGCAGTACAGTTAGATTTCAAGCGTCACAAAAATAGATTTATCCAAATAATAAACCGAACACCAGACCGCGGAACACATTGGCTCACAGTTTCAAACATAGGGGTGTGTCCCATATACGCTGTATATATGCGATTCTTCTTTCAATGACATTCCAACCATGGAACAAATGTGCATTGCGACATTGATAGCACCATGGCATCGTCAAGAACTCTACAAATTAACGTTTTGCGGTAACCCAACAAAATAACAACTAGTATACTATAATTGCGGTTTGTACGTCATAGCGCATATGGTTACATTGGCGAACGGCAAAGATCCAACAACCATGAAGTATGACCACAAAAAACTTAGTTCACATTTATTTTTTTGTTAAAAAAGACGTCATCTATTGCTTTTTCCTGTTACAAGCAGGCGTAAAATTAAAAATCGTGTGAAAAAAACTCAGTCGCAGTCAATTTCTACTGTGAATGCCAGCTGCCAGATACACACACCCTGTATGTCATTTATGACGGTTGCAATAAAGAATACCATCCTCTATGTAAAGGCGCAACAGACACCGCCTTAAAACAAGATGACATGTATTGTACAAAGTGCACAAAAAGCAGACAACAATAATAATAGTAATAACTCAATATATTTATATTTGTCTTGTTTTTCTTTTAGCATCACATAAATAATATTCCCTTGTTCCACAATGTATTTGATACACTTTCCACTTTTTACTGTATTCCGCATTTTAGTCTGTTCTGCTGTTCTGTTGTTCTGGTTTTCTGTCTTTTAGTTTCTGCCATCACTAACATGTCTTCTGTATTACCAGCACTGGTATAGTAGTGTATGCCTTGGCTGTAACCAACAACAACACTTTATTTTGTAAGATAATTTTTTTTACATGTTCATTCACATGTTCAAACAGAATTCGGGCACAAATACGGAATTACATTGGTGAAAACACATTCAAAGACATAATTCACTTAAAATAAATTTGGATCTTCTTAAATATGCTAAAGACGAGACTTTGGTTAAGCAATGTGGTGTGTGTGTACTGTGTGAGAGTGCATGTTAGTGCGTGTGGATGCATGTGCATTACTGAGTTTCTGGTCTCACCTATCTCCTCAATACTTTTTACAACTGTTAAAACTGTTGCATATTTCTTGTCTTTGGTATCAACTGAAAGAACAGAAGCAAATTTAAAGGGGTGCAAATCAAGTTCAATCTTTACACAGTAAAAGCATGGATTTTTCTGAAAATAAAGAGTGTGTGTGTGTGCAAGTGTGCACATGTGTACATTTCATATGTGTATTAAAATAATAAATATTTTACTGAGATTCCTGTCTTACCTGTCTCTTCAGTGTTAGGAGCCTTTACTCTGTTATCAACTGAAACAGAATAATTAAAATGAAAGGGAACACAATTTATGTTTAATCTAAGCTTAACATGTTACATTACGGCAGTAATAATACAGGTAAGTAAGAAACAAGAGGGGATGTGTTAGTCAGTTATATTTTTTTTATTAATCTGATTGCATTCTGAAGTTTCCATGGAGTTTGTGCACATTAGATAGGTAGACAAAATTGACCAAATTCATTGTGAATGGTCTCTGGTAATCAACAGCTTCAAGGGTCAAGACTTGCACCCTGAGAGTTAAGGTGTTTGTAGTCAAAAACATTGATAATTTCACTTCAAGATTCCTTGCAAATAGTGAAAATGAACAAACGCACCATGTAAATTGCTAAAATCAATTGAATTATTACCTGCAATTTGCTTACCACTGGTGTGGACTTCAGGTTCATATGTGTAGTTAGACTCTGGAATAAGATGCATGCATTTTTTGTTATTCGCAAATTTTGATATAGACATTGAGAATGAAATAGTCTAAATTTCATTTGATAGAATTAAAGGACCATTTCTTTCCATATCTTACATTTATAGAATAATAATGTTAATTCACCTTTTCTTTCCATTAGTTAGATTTAACAGAATTATAAGACCTTTTACTTCCATGTTCAGATCTCCCCAAGTACAGGTCACTTCCATGCTGTCCTTGGTGGTCACTTGGAGGCACCTGTTCCTAAAGGGTTCAGGCTCCCATATCCAGCCAGACCCAGGGTGGTAAGGCTAGATAAATAAATAAATAAATAAATAAATTGAAGATAAGTTAATGTCTGAAATGAAAAAGAAAATCCAAATGAAAAGATACATATATTTAAAATTTGACTAATCAAAAACATTTTAATCTACAAGAAATGAATGAAGCTAAAATAACAGTTAAATTTGTTGAACTTAGATTTTCTTTTTCAATAAAAAGGAACATTATTTTCATCTCAGTTCATTTGTCATTACAAATAAATTAATATATTATACTTACGTTTTGCGGTCTAACAAACTTCCACTCTATATTTACAGCCTTGGGCAGAAGAACTTCCGCCCTTAGAACAGGGACACCCAACTCGGTGCACCTAGCAAGATTTACACCACGTTGGGTGTCCCATGTTCCAAGGGCAGTTCCTCTGCCCACTGCTTTGGCTTTTAAGATATTGTCCTTTAGGACTATTCGAACAGTGGCCATGGCTGTTCAAAATGAAACAGAAAATAGAAAGAAATCTTGTCAATATATCTTTTTTGATGTTGTAATTGCAGACATTCAAATCACTCACTAAATATAAAAAAGGGATATACTGCATTCTTATTATGAATAAGTAAGTCAATTTCTTTTTCATTATTTAAGAACATTTAAAAGTACGCAAGAGCAGTTTTAGGACAATGTATTGATTTAGTAGAACATGTATTAGACTTGGTCCCCATACCTAGATCTATCTTATATAGGATCAATCCATCTCCAAGAGGTTTCTCCCTAAATTACAATCAACTTAAGCAGCTTAGATGTGTGCCAGAAGCTGCTAGGTGGATATTAATGATCATTTAGCACCTTCAGTAGGAGTAGCAGACATCTAACTTCTAAGACGCTTAAGATGAAGGCAATTTTTGGAGAAACCCCTTGGAGATGGATCGGCCCTTTTAGATCGATCTAGGTATGGGAACTCAGTCTATGACTCATACAGTGTACAGCCTGATAATATATATGAATAACTTCTCGTGCATGCACGCGCACACACACACACACACACACACAACTTACGAGCACACTGCTCTTCTTTGTTATTTTCAATTTCCATATTAACTGACATCTGCAATAAATAAATCAAATCATACTTTAACATGTTCCAATAACAGATTTCAGTTGCATCTTTCTTTTGTAGTGATACACTCCATTATATTGGGATTATCAGCAAAAAAATTGACATTGTGTAACAGGAAATTCTCCAAAATTTCAGTTAGAATAAATTTATCATATAAAAAAACTTGGATACAAACTTTCATGGTCAATTTTGAACAAAAATTTAACTTACCAGCTACTGTGCAAAATTATATCTTTGCTTTGTTTACTAAAACAATAAACAGGAATAATTACTGTATAAAGAAATTTGATTGGACAGCTCCTGTATTGTTCCTTAACTTTAAACCAATAGGAATGGCGGTATTTTGACGGTCTCGACGTGACTCTCTCTGCTTTACAAATCACACTATATCACACACAACTAGAGCCTGGTTATCCTGTGTAAGATGCTTATGCCCCCATCCTTGCACGGTTTTTTTTAGAAAGCACCTCTGACTGATATCGGTTGGGGTCTATGTTGTAAACCACAAGTCTCACCTCTTGCACAGCGCCATCTATACTCGATGTTAACATGGCGTCAGCGAAAGGTGATGTAGTGCCGAGGGGTCATTGCATGACCCGGAAGCGTGTCACGGCGCATGCGTAGTAGTTAGTTGTTAGAAGTAGAGAGCGTTGGAGTTGAGCATGGCGCGCTCAAGCGCATGGTGCTAAGTTGTGGTGAAGAGAGAATTAACAAGAAAACGAGGACTTGGATGCCTATCCAGCAAAGGTAGGCACTTTACTTATTCATAGGCCAGTTGTAACGCACAACCCGGTTTCTATATTGGTGGCAGCCGGGCCGGATTTGTGCCACATTTGGGCAGAAAAATTACGAATTTTTCTGCTGAGGAGTTTTTCAGCCACGGAGCTGAACTCCGCACTCAGGCACGCTACCCTACCATTTTAATGTTTATTGTTGTATATATTGTATATGAGGAAACCCCAGCACGGTCTGGTGAGTGGTTTTAGAGTGTTTTTACAGTAGTTTCTTACAAGTTTTAAGGAGTTTTCTTGAATTTTCGGCGGCACGTGCGCCAAGGAAAAAACAAAATGGCGACGCACGCCAGGATTTTCATAAATTATGCAAATGTAAATGAGTTAATGCGGACTCCAGGTCTCACGGAAGACCAAGTGTTCAAAATAGCCGAATTGAGGGAACGGTTTGGAAATTTAAATGTGCAGCAAGTGGAAAGTGCTTTGTGCTGCAGACTGGCTCCTCGTACGCTGGATATGGTGGACTTTGAGCCGAATCAGCGCTTGGGTGTGGGCAGCACGGCTGTTTCACTCAGGGAAAGGAAGGTGCAGGAGACAGGAGGATCTGGAAACTGGTTATGGAGGTTTTTCCGGTTTCTTCTAGGACTGTTCTTCGGATTTTCTGCTCAGGAGGAGAGCAACGCTTTCAATAGCGAAAGTGCGCCTCACGGAGGTGGCACGCGGCAGCTAGGAGGCTGTGAGGGTCAAATGAGTGCACATCGTAACTCGGAGGCCACGGTGCCGAAGAGGTTATTTGAGGATAGTGGACTGGAGGGAGCGAATTCGCCTCAACTTGTCAAACGGAGCCCAGGTAAAAATGTAGTTAAGAATGTAAATAGTGGGGTTCAGCAGGGGGGTCCTTATGTTCCGTATACACCTAGCCCCATGGGGGGTGGGGTAGCATTAGGTCCCGGGAGTCAGGATAGGGCTGTTTATACCCCTGAATTGTTTACACCTAGTCCAGGGGGGGGCGTTGTAAGGGAGACTCCTATGTCCGGGGATGTCCGGGGGGAGGGGTATGCTATTGGCCCAGGGGGTGGTGGCAGCTATTCGGGTTACCCTGGGAATCATAGCCCTCCAATGGCACCTGGTGTCAGTTCCCCAGTCATGCACCCTGGGAATCACGGATTCTCAGCACTGCACCCTGGAAATCACAGCTCTCCAGCCATGCACCCTGGGAATCACGGATTCTCAGCACTGCACCCTGGAAATCACAGCTCTCCAGCCATGTACCCTGGGAATCACGGATTCTCAGTACAACACCCTGGAAGTCACAGCTCTCCAGACGTACACCCTGGGGATCACGGATCTCCAGTGGTGGGAAATGGATCGAATTCAGGGCACTTAGTGTATCATAGCACCCCAGTGGAGGGAGGTAGCCAGGACGAACACCCTGTATTCCAGGGCTCTCCTATATTGAAACGGGGCGCGGCCTCGAGGAGGACTGCACGGCTCACGGAGCTAGGGGCAGAACAAGACTCAATAGAGAGGAGGAAGGTCAATCCTCCTAAGAGCTTAACTTTTAACGGACACGGAAGTTGGGCTGCTTTTAAGTTGCTTTTCTTACGACAGGCAGAGAGGGAGGATTGGGATCGCGACATGTCCCTGGATGCACTATGCCTCTGCCTGAAGGGTAAAGCCCTAGATTGTTGTGTGAACGTCACACGCAGGCTAGGTAAGCTCTCATATGAAGGTCTCATGGAGGAATTGGAGACCTGTTACGGAGAAACGGACACACCGGCTACGGTCCGGTCCCAGCTACATAACGCTACTCAAGACGAGGCGGAAACGGTGGATGAATGGGGAGTCAGGGTGCTACGTCTGACTTCTGAAGCGTATGCTCAGTTACCTAGGACATTCGTGGAGTCAGAGGCTGTAAGTCGGTTCTGCGCGGGCATGATTGATTCAGAGGCAGGTCAATCAATTTATATGCGACAGCCAGCCACCTTAAGGGAAGCGATGCAGCTGGCTAAGATGCATAGGGAAATGCGAGTGACTATGGAGAATGCGGGAAAGAAATTGCGCCCGGGAGCCAAGCGAGCCAACCAGGTGACGCCTGCAGCAGAGGGTAACATTCCAGAGCTGGAACAGATGAGGGATACCATCAAGGAAATGGAGAAGGCGTTGAAAGATGTCTGCCAGGAGCTGAGTAGGAGGTCATCTACCGGTTACGGCCACGGAGCCGCACCCGGAAACCAGCGGGGCTGGGGACGGGGCAGCACTGGAAGCTCGGTGCTGTGTTATAAATGCAATCGGCAAGGGCACATTGCAAGGGAGTGCCCGCAGGTGGGAAACTCCACCGGGTCGAGGCCGGAGGCCAACCCTCGACCCAGCGATTCATAGGCCCAGATGTTATAAATAAGCCCATTAAGAAACTCAGGGTACCAGAGGAGTCAGCAGTTTCGGATATTAAGTGCACTGTACCCACGGAGGTACAGGGTGTGCAATCAGAATTTACTCGACAGGGGGCAGCACTAGTCCAAGACAAGCCCAACCGTGATACGAGTCACGTTGAATCACCAACTAGGGCAGATGAGGCTACCACAGGGGGAATACAGGGCACGGTTCCTGCTCCCATGGTAGTGGTGCGACAAATCGGAACAGTGGCGGATTATTCACTTCAGATGAAAGTGGGAAACATTGCTGTGAATGCTGTAGTGGACACTGCGGCTCAAGTTACGATACTTTCAGACCGCATTTACAACAGTCTTAAGAAACAACCTAAGAGGTTGAATTCAGTACAGCTTTTAGCCGCTGGTCGGGAAATGGTGATGCAGGGGTTTACAGCAGGCCCTGTTAAGTTAAAGATTGGACATAAGTGGTATGCTGTGAGGCTATACGTAGCCCCCATTGAACAAGATATGCTGCTGGGAATGGACATTATGAAGGACTTAGGGCAGGCAGTAGTGGATGTCGGCAGAGGAGTGATGCAGTTTGACGGCATGTATCTGACATTAGACGCTAATTCAGATAAGGGAACACCTCAGATGGCCAGGGTCACTGTCGCACGGCGCCAGGTGATACCCCCTTACTCCGCTGCCAGGGTGGCCTGTAAGTTAGATGTAGATCTTCCTAGTTATGTAATAGAGCCAAAGGTGGGGGGTACTGGTAAGTTCCTTGCTCCCAGGGTTATTCGTAATGGGGGGTCTGAACCCATCATGGTCCTCATAAATCCCAGTGAGAGGCACAGACTACTGCGTAAGGGTACTGAAGTGGGGCGGGCTTTTACCTATGCGGGTATTATAACGTCTGGGGAGCCCCTGGGGGATCCGTTATGTTTCCCTAGTAACCAAGGGGAGGGTGGCAGGTCACCTGGGGCGGAGGTCATTCACTGCATACCACCAGCAGTGCAGTCAGTCACGGCACGGACCGATGACGAGGTCAATGATGAGGCGCGACGCGTGCCTTCTCATTTAAAGCAGGTGTATGAGGAATCCAGTGCAGAATTAGACGATCAGCAGAAAGTTCAGCTAGCGAGATTACTCACGGAGTATCAAGATGTGTTTGCTAGAGACGAATTTGATTTAGGAAACTTCACATTGGTTGAGCATAAGATAGACACCGGTACTGCTCTTCCGATAAAGCAGAGAATGCGGCGAACGCCACGGTGCTTTGTGGGCGAGGAGGAAGCCCATTTACAGAAGATGTTGAAGGCAGGAGTGATTCAGGAGTCAACTTCCGACTGGGCGTCGGCGCCAGTGTTAATACGGAAGAAAGATGGCTCTGTGAGGTGGTGTATCGATTACCGTGCGTTGAATGCCGTGACCACTAAGGACGTGTTCCCATTACCCTTAGTCGACGACTGTTTGGATACCTTGTCGGGTAATGTGTATTTTTCTAAGTTGGACGCCAACTCTGCGTATTGGCAGGTGCCCATACGTGAAGAGGATCGGAAAAAGACAGCTTTCATTACGAAATATGGTCTCTATGAGCATGTGCGTATGGCATTTGGTCTGTGCGGGGCGCCCGCGACCTATGCTCGGATAATGAACTTAGTTTTCCGTGGAATGTCCTGGAAAACTGTGCTGGCATTTCTAGATGACATAGTGGTACTCGGTACTACTTTTGATGTGCATTTACAGAACCTAAGGGACGCCCTTGAAAGGTTCCGCAGCTACGAGCTGAAGCTTAAGCCAAAGAAATGCATCTTCTTTAAGAAGGAGATTGAATTTCTCGGACGGATAGTGACAGGGGAGACGCTCTCCATGTCTGATCATGACATTAAGGCTGTCACGGAATGGCCTACACCAACATGTGCCAAAGATGTGGAGAAATTCATGGGCTTGGCTAATTACCATCGAGCCTTTATTAAAAACTTCAGTGAGATAGCGGCACCCCTGTACGCTGTAACTGGAAAGAGTTACGAGTGGGGTGAGGAACAAGCACGGGCTTTTACGGCATTAAAGGGGGCATTAACATCTCCCCCGGTTCTTTCTGTTCCCACGGTGGACGGAGAGTTCATTTTAGATACAGACGCAAGTGACTTTGCTATAGGAGCAGAGCTTATTCAAGTACAAGATGGCCAGGAGAAAGTGATAGCTTACGGTAGCTATGGATTAACCAGGGAACAGAGGAGGTATTGTACGACACGCAAGGAACTCTTGGCGGTGGTACGATTCACCCGACAGTTCAGGTACTATTTATTGGGGAAACCATTTACTATTAGGACTGACCATTCGAGTTTAAGATGGCTGATGAAATTTCGGGAGCCGCAGGGTCAGCTGGCGAGATGGCTGGAAGAGCTCTCACAGTACGACATGGTGTTGTCTCATCGCGCTGGGCGCAAACATGGGAATGCGGACGCGCTGTCTAGAGCGACTCACACGGGGCAGTGCAAAGCAGGCACCAGGGGGCGGCTAGATGCTCTACCATGTGGTGGATGCGGGTATTGCAGGCGGGCCCACGAGAATTGGGTGGGTTTCGAGGAGGAAGTGGATGATGTTATTCCGCTAGCACAGGGTGCGNTCGAGATTCACAAGGCCCGTACTACGCCGTACCGGCCGGCCAGCAATGGCCAGGTAGAGCGCTATAACCGCACTCTCATGGATGCGGTACGCTGCTTCACGGAGAAGGCCCAGAACGGCTGGGACTTGCGTCTACAACAGATTGCCGGGGCACTTAGGGCATCTGTAAACCGGATGACGGGGTACACTCCCAACAGGTTAATGTTGGGGAGGGAGGTGAACGCACCTGCAGGTTTAATGTTCCCACGGAGGAGCATCAATTTTGAAGATTCAGATAGCTATGCCGCACGGTTGGCAGCTGATCTGATGGAAGCCCACGAGACGGCTCGGGGTAAACTGCGAGTAGCCTCTAAAAGAATGAAGAGGGACTATGACTTAAGGATACTCGAGCGACCGTATGCTGTGGGAGATACAGTATATGTGCTGGATACTGCGGCAGCCAAGGGGAAGTGTAAGAAATTGTGCCCACCATGGAGGGGGCCAGGTTTAATTGTAGCACGGCTCAGTTCAAACCTGTTCCGCGTTAAGGTGCGGAATGCAGTCTTTGTGACCAACCACGATAGGTTGAAGCCTTGTCGAGACAAGGAGGTGCCCCAGTGGATACAACATTGGAGGAAGAATCCAGTGCCCGACTCCACGGCGAGGGGCGATGACCGGGTATATTGCAGTTGCCGTCAACCCTGGCAGGGTAGATTTATGCTGCAATGTGATTACTGCGGGGAGTGGTATCACGGGTCATGTGTTAATGTGACGGCCACGGATGCCTTAAGCATTAACAAGTACAAATGCCAAGACTGCATACGCCGAGCTTAAGGGCTGAAGAATTGGATGTATACTTAGGCGTCACGGGCGCTTCGCAGAACATGAGGGGCCTGTCAATGCCAAGGCGCATGACATGTTACGAACCTTGCCCCTGGGAAGACTACTCTTGGAGACGGATGCTCCGTATTTCAACATTCAACGGAACAAGTGTTCTACTCCAGCTCTGCTTGGTCACGTGGCCAAGTTAGTGGCGGAGATCCGGGGAGAGCGATGGCGAGAAGTGTTGCGCCAGACCAGGGATAACGCACGGCGTTTATACCTGGAGAAAAAGGGCCCAGACGGTTAGAAGGGCAAGGGTGTGGTCAGGCTGGGTGCGACCTGATCAGGATTAGTGGTTTTGATGGGACGCCCATCATCACTGCAAGCACTTATCCCCTGAGTCCCACGGGGACAGGCGGGTATTTTCCCTTTCCCACGGAGGAAAGTGGACTTTTAGTGGACTTTGGTGGACTCGGCACTGACACGACCGAGAAGGCACGGTCCTTCAAGGTAAAACGGGGGAGAGTGTAGTGCCGAGGGGTCATTGCATGACCCGGAAGCGTGTCACGGCGCATGCGTAGTAGTGAGTAGAAGTTGAGAGCGTTGGAGTTGAGCATGGCGCGTTCAAGCGCATGGTGCTGAGTTGTGGTGAAGAGAGAATTAACAAGAAAACGAGGACTTGGATGCCTATCCAGAAAAGGTAGGCACTTTACTTATTCATAGGCCAGTTGTAACGTACAACCCGGTTTCTATAAAACCAAAGGCACATGACAAAGTCTGTTTCCTCCACTTTCGTGAGGAAGATTACACTTCTACGTAAGTTGTAGGCCTACTTGCTGTTGTCGCTTTTAGTATTAATAATGAGTTTGTCAACTTATTCATTAGGTCTTTGTTATCGATGTTTAAATAATTGTGTCGTTTAACGTGCTTAGAATGTTAATTTTTAAGACATTCTTCACCTAACATTATGTAGCGATTTGGGGGAGAAAACACTCTACCGACTAAGCTACCGAGCCCGGGTCAACCCCGACCAGCCACTACAATTTTTTCTTCGTTTTTATGTGATAATACATAAGGTTTTTTAAAGGCCACGTTTTCAAATTAGGACAACTTGATTTTTATTGTATTAATAATCGTTATGTTCACTCCTTTTGCAGATGAGAGAAAAAGACTGATGCCAGGAACGATACCATCCATATTTCCATTTAATAATTCGCAAAGTATCAGATCCGATGAAGTGGAGGTAAATATACCGCATGATATAATAACAGATTTATAAATAAAATGTTTCTTTTTATTTGTATAATTATCTGTCTTAATACTAAAAATACTAGAGACGGACTAAAGGGGACAAGAGGCAGTCAGATCTGCGTCATTTCTGTCATCTACACAGATTTTATGTGTTAATTAACAATGCATTTTTCTTTGTGTAATTTATTAACTTATGTATTTATTTTTTGTTGTATCCTATATAGGATGAGTCTCAAGCAGATGAAGCAGTGGCAGACAAACATGAAGACTGCGCTGGTGAGAGCCAAAAAGAAAGTACAGCTTCCTAGTGTGATATCACTACGCCATCAGACACAAGAGAAAGCATCATGCTGTACCAGAAAAATGCAAAGGCTGTCCAGTATCAAACTGGATTTAGTCATATTGAACATTTCATGTTGTTTTTCAATGGCCTTGGGCCAGCAGCTCACCACTTGAATTTCAAATGTTTGTCACCAGGGCCAATGTTTTTTGATCATTATGAAACTGAGACAAGCCTTTGACGATTATTTAGCTCTCTGTTTCAAGCTATCGGTAACAACGGTGTCAGAAATAATAAGCACATGGATCAACTTTGTTTTTCCAACTCAGTGAAATGAACATTTGGCCAGAACGTGACATTGTTGACGACTATATGTCTGTAAATTTTAAGAAATATGGAGTATTGATTTCATGGGTAAACAACAGTGACTGGCATAATTTGTCCATGTCTTGTCTTTCGGTTGCATTCAAAATATCACCAAACCTAAAAATAATAAAATTAAATTAGTGAGATAGGTTTTTTTACTGTTCTTTTCAATTTGTATTCCAAATGCAAAATGAAATTGTACATTCATAGGATTAAATGTTGACCTTCAAACCATGATATATCATCTCACAACTTGTATTTCTGTATTATATATAATGCAACTACAGGTATATATAGTAGCTCAAGCTAGGACATGATATTGATACAAGACATTTGAACAAGTAAAAAACAAGCAAACTTATTTTCGTTTGCACACCTACCTCGATGCTGTTATTCTCCATGATCTTTCTTCATGCCACACTCGACTTTTACTTTGGCCTCTAGTTCTGTTTTCAAGTTCTGACACTTCCTTCTCTGTGACCTACCAACATCAATGCAATTATGAGGGAGTGAAAAAACAATGATGCTAACAAAACGATGCTAACATTCTTGGCAAACACTGTTTTGATTGTCTACCTCATCTATACTTAGTTATGTCAACTGTCATTGACATAAAACACGCATCATGCAACCCTTGTTTCTCCTTTACAAATTTGTGTTGACACAAGTCATGTGTTAAATGTCGGACCTGGTACACGAAACTTGATTACCGAAACGAACGGTCCTTTATCGACTAGGAGTGCCTACAATAAACATATTTTAAACATAAATACCTTCATTATATTCTCGGAATATGGAAATACGCAATGACAATATCATTATCTTGAAATATAGTAATAAATTAGGCATAGTAGTAGTGCGGAACTAGCCGCCGCTTACACCTGGCTTTTGACAGGGAGCTCACACAGAAACCCATATTTACGGGAAGATTCGAGCGCGAAACCTTCAATATTAATGATACAATTGACACATTTATAAGTAAACACACTAACCTTTCTACCAAATCCTGTTTATTTCCTCTAGTGGAGGCTCCTCTTTCAACTTGTGTAAGTTTTAACTTCGCCGCCGTTTGCTTCCCATACTCTAAAGCCATTTCTACACGGACGCGAAAACGAGGCTATCTTCAATAACCACTATTACCCCAGCGCCCTCTTTAGGACAAACGGCTCCGCGTATAGCCCCATTGCCGTCGGGGAAAGTGTTAGGGATGCGCTCTAGGATGTGCACACAATAGCAGGCGGTCTTGGCCACATTCGCCAAGCGAAAAATGGTTCGAAAACACGGTCGTGTTAGGCCCCTATTCCACACAGACCACGAATCCCACGAATCGCCAGGAATTGACAAATTTTAGGATTCGTGAGGATTCGTGAGATTTTGCCAATTTTCTGGTCTTATTCGACACGGTCACGATTCACTTACGATACAGGTACGAAAGTGTTACGAATATTCGTGGGATTCGGCTGGAATCGTGAGATTTGCAAGAACTGACTACGAATATATACGAATCTGTTAAGAACCTCACGAACTGATTACGATTCAACCACGAATCGTAAAATTTGTCAATTCATGGCCATTCGTGGGATTCGTGGTCTGTGTGAAATAGGGGCATTACAGGACGCCGATCGGACCATCAACAACAAGAAATAGACGCAACCAAAAAGGTTTTGTTAGAGGAAATGTCTAAGTTGGGTGAGCCAGGAAAATTCTGCGATAATTGTTGAAGACAAAAAATGGGTCAACTCCGTTTCAAAATTCTTTGACGCTTTGCAGGAAAAATATTTCCTTTGTTTCTCTAGCTCCTTATAAAACCTGGTGTCCAGATTTTATCTAGTGCCCTCAGGGTTGCGGGAGCTGCTCTTTGAAAATAACACTCAGGTAGATTTTTACCTGAGCTAGAACAATTGTGCCTATACAATTGATACAGAGGATTTGTTCATACAGGTGACTTTAGTAAGCAGAGGATTTCTTTATATTCCGTGAAAAATACACTAAATTTATATGAAATAATATCATGGTTGACCAAAAATTGTACGCACAGTGCATCCGTGCGTATGCCTAGTTACGACCATGTTAAGATTTTTAAAATCTAACAACTGCATCGAGCTGTTGTCGAAAATGGATAGAAAGTATGACGATTGTTGTCACGGGTAGCAAGCAACGGAATTTTCTTCTTTTTTTTTTTTTTTTTTTTTGCGTATCTCAAAAAGTTAACAAGAAAATCGAAAGAGCGCGTGTAACAAAAAGCAATATTCAAGGGAGAACGCGTATTTCGAGCAAATCCAATGTGTCGGAAAAGATTCTTCTTAGCGCTGATCACAATCAAGAGTGACTGTCAAAACAGCTTAAGCGGAACAATAGGCACTGCTTTGCCGAGCGCTGTTTATGACAAAGGGGGCATGGCGCATCCCTGTGCTATTGTTTCCCTAGACGTGCTGATGCTGCAAAGGTCCGCCCACCGAGTTTACCCATGCCAACGGCCCTTGACAACGAAGGCGGGGCATAGACCAGGCCACCGGTGCCGATGTGTGCAGCATCAGAATCCTCAGAAAAAACCTATTTTTTGTTCAAAATGTAAACATTTTATTCTGTTAAACGTTAGATACACATTAAACCAATAATTAGACATAAAAAACCAAAAATGACGATTTTTAGCTATATTTGGGTACATCCGTACCTTAAAGGAGGGTGTAATATAAAAAGTCCTTAAATGTTCCTACAAGAAGTAGAACACAGATGAATATTCAAATGTTTAGTTCGTTGACTCTTTATCAATTTTAGCTCACGTTTGTGTCTCAGAAAAGAAGGCGGTTTTGACAACCTAATTAAAAATGCACCTTAGAAAATGTACGTAGCAAATCGTACTTTGTACTTTACAAAACTCATAATTATCATCATCATTAATGAGATTAAACAGGATGCATTGTCTTTTTAAATCCAGAATGCATACATGTTGTACAGAAATGGAACTTACATTTAAAAGTGATATAAACACTGTGTACCTCGTCAAACTCACCTATTTTCTGTAATTCATTAAGTGCATACTGTTCGTCCGAACCGTATATCTTGTTATCCACTTTTACTTGAAGAGTTCTGTTGCCACTCAAAACGTCTTTAATTGTGGTCAATGCATCATTGGAATTGCCAGAATTATTTAGGAACACTTTCAGGGCAAAAATTAGGGTGTAATCGATTATGATGCTCCCTTTGCTGCAAAATAATTGTGACAAACCAATCCCCATTATTATTCTTATTATTATTTAAATAGCTATCAAATCATAGATAAAGACCGATTGTTACAGGTACGTCTATATGTATTGTTTGGCGGTTCTAAATTTTGTATCACTTATGTTAAATTGAAATACCTGAATTTGGTTATTTCCACTCCAAGAAGACCCTCCATTCCAGTTGAATTGAATGTAGTGAATATCTGAAATGCAATTGATTAACTCGATAAATTTTACCACGGGAGATACCACCATTCTTGAATCTTAATACAATATTGATGCATACACATCACCGTAACATGAATCATTTCATAGGTACGTAAGGAGTGATGGTTCACAATATATATATATATATATATATATATATATATATATATATATATATATATATATATATATATATATACCTTAAGATGTATTACCTGTACCTACACTTAGCCAGCTAAGTCCGCTAGAAACCGTAGTTCGCTCCCCGTTACAGGTGACATTCGTCCCATATATTTACCCAATACTCAGACTAACCTGTAGTAATCACCTGAGACCCTGAGCTTCCACCCTTACTGTATAGGACTACCATTCCTGGCACATTTGTTCTTTGACATACCCACTAAGGGAAATAAACACATATACCACCGTACCAAACCTCAAAGAACCCGCTGTAATCATTACAATGTACCCGTTCTTGTAACAACCGTAAACGTTTAAGAAGTGAAAAAAAAATAAGTTAGTCTTGCTTTCCCTCATTTATGCACCTTCATTTTCAAATTCAGTATTACCTTGAGTTGAAATGAAGTCATTTTTCTGTCGTGTTGGATTTAGTTTAGTCATATCATAGATTAACGTTAGTCTGATGACAAAAACAGAAATAATAAAGTGGAATTAACTAGGATTCCCCAAACTCCTGAACGAGGTACATAGTTTAATTTTTATTCATATTCTTTGAACTATAAAGTGGCAATGCTGTGCGTGCCGTTGCCTGAGTATGCTACCAAGAAACATAATAGAAAATGTGTGGAATAATATGTCAAACTTTTTACAAATGCCCGTCTAACCAGCAGAGAAACTCTGTTATATTCAGTGTTTCATGCTTGGGCCAGCATTAGCCCTGAACGCACCAGACAATTATATGAAACCTTGCTTCGTAGACTGGCACCTATTATTAGGTCACGTGGCTATGCCACTAAGTACTAAGTTTGGACTTGAAACTGAATATTTTGGTAGAATGTATATTTTGTTCTCATTTTGTGATTTTTTGTGAAATTTGATGTTAATAAAATGATACCAGGAGCATATCATTCCGCAGTCATTTATCTCCCCCATAGTATTGGCTCAGTAGGGGTGACACTTCTTTTGTCCAGTGTGTGTATATATTCTCCCTTTATTGATAAAAAACCACTCATAAAATATATTATTACCCTTATACGAATCTACAAGCTTTAAAACTATCGATAACGAATAACAGACCTGGTTCTCTAAATCAGCTTTCTTCTCTTCAAAGGTGGTCTTTAAATCATTGAAACTTGCGTTGAATTTTAGCGACATTGGTACACGTTTCTCTAGGGTTTGCAGAAATGTTGACTCTGTAATAAAAATATTATACTTGACACCGTACAAGGAGAAGAAAAACATTGAGAAAAAATTGCTCGAATGACTTCTGTGACTTTCTGAACAGTGCAGGCTATTCGTTACATCCTGAAAACGAACGTTTAAGTCGCATACATTATTAAGTAAAAGACAGTGTTCGCATTAAAGTTACTTCTACTTGGTGGGGTAAAAGTAATTTCATTATTATTGAAACCATCCATGTAAGAGTCAAATAGATATAATAACAAAGGAATGGATTGTCTGCCGCACAAACCTATATTTATCCTCTGTGGAATATCTTGCTTGCTTGCAGTAGTTGTAGGATCCTCAGAAGGTTTAGGAGATGTGGGCGTATTTTTCGTCAATGTTGTTAAAGGAATTGAGGTGACAGTACTAGGGGCGGTACTTGACAAAACTTGGGATGACAGCGAAGTCATTTCAGTGGATATTCGGATGGTGGTGTCATTTTCAAAGTCACCTGAACCATCCCCTGACTCTCCAGATCCTCCAGATGGATCACGTCTGTGTCGAATCCTTGAACTGCTCAACTTTGACGAGCCATAGGTCTTCGCAGTTAGATCCATTATTGTGAGTTTCCCGTGCGGGGGTCGTATTGTTTGACCGAGCGGCAGTAGTCTATCTTGTTTTCTAGCAGGAATGTTAACATGTTGGTCGTTTGATTTTTTAATTTCATGTCCATTGGGTTTAGTTGTTTGCTCCAAAGTGGATGATTTATCATCTGTCTTTTTGGCTTTTGATTCTTTCAAATTAGAGACCGTGATAAATTCAACCAAATCGTCCTCGTCAGCTGCATCTCCTTGTAACAGTTGCAGAAATTTTGTCTCTTCCTGTATTTCTCTTAGGATGTTTTTAGTGGTGGTGGCGGCGGGGATATTGTCGGTGATATACTCATACATATTGTCCTGAATGTCCTCTTCTAGCGTATTGGTATGACTTGTTGGTTGTTTCATAGTTCCTTGCAAAAGAACGGGCACTTGCTGCTGTCCGGTGATATTTGAGGAAACGTCCATTTGTTCATGCTTTTTTTCGTTGGATAAAGATGACAAATGCGCCGATGAATGGAAACACACATGCAACAATAAATACACCAATCCCTGAAGATGCATAATGTCTTCGTTCTGTTCAAGCTGTAGAAATAACAAAACAAAGTTGACCTGTTTATTTTTAAACACTGATAATAATATTAATATGCCGCTTCTATTTGAGTAAATAATATATTATAACTAGGTTACTTAAGAAGTTTTATATATTTCATCATAACATATTTTGTTACCTCGGTAGAAGTGTTCGTCTAATTAAAATTTGACTTAGGATTATTTCAGAATTTTTGAATTACTAAATAAAAATATAAATAACTAATCCAAACCCCATGTTAAAATTTGTAAATACATGTATATGGAGATACAAAACCGTGGGCATTTGAAAATTATTAAAGTAATAATACTCTTCCTTAGAGATTCAAAATTCCGCAAGAAATACATTGTAAACAACGCATGAAAATATATTATGTTGTATTTTACCACTAAAACGGCTGTTATTGTAGTAAAACGTAAATCTGTGCTTGTCAATAAGGCTTTCGATTCCTTTCTTCCCGGTCGTCAAGGCATCCGTTGCCAATGAGGTTGGGGTGTCTCGCGGATTCTCGCGTTCATTCGAGACCAAAATAACATATGACGCCATGTGAAAACAGACGCATGATGCAATCCTCAGACGTAAGTTGTGAGTTTTTGTACAGTGCGTCGGAAAACGAAAAGCCCAGAACTGCACACATTGTAGATAAAATGCATTTTGAGCAATAAGACAAACATATCTTATTAATCTTATATTATAGTTATATAGTGTTGTTGTTGTCTGCTTTTCCCGCGGTTTTAAGTAGTCAGAGAGGGCTCCGTCAGTTAAAATCTCTTTAAGAGATTTAACAAAAAAAAAAAACAAACGTTTAGGAAAAAAACACCTCAGACTAAGGCAGGGATGGGGTCGTTGACCATTGGTAAGTACGGGAAAATTGCTGTTTACTCCAGGAAATCCAATTTTTGGCCAAAACGAAGAGTTATTATGACTTTAATGCATTCGAATTTGATAATACCAGAGAATAAATCAGCATTACATTATACCTATCTTAATTTTGTTGCGGTCAAAGACTAATTTGCAATTGGTTTGAGATAAAAAACAATAACTTTAAGTCAGTAAAATTGCCCACCGGAAAATCTCCTGAGGTTTTATATTATTTCTCACTGAATGTTATCATAATAACAGATTAAAACGTCGCCTCCTAGCGTTGAGTAAAATGGTAAAGAAGCTGGTGATTTTATTAGCACATTGGAAACAAGGGGATGCCTGTTGGTTTGTTTATCTGATTGCATTCGGCTAGAGTTTTCGTGGAGGTAGTGTGCATTATCTAGGCCAACATAGCTCACTAAGAACGGTCCCTAAAACGAAATCGCGATTCACTTAGGTATATGTGGTGATTGTACCTTTGCTCTATAGGAGAACTAGTCCTGCTGATCATGGGCTAAACTTCCAGACTCAACAACCATGCTTTAACTTTCGATATTTACTTTTTTTTTTTTTTTTTTTTCTTGTACAAAATAACTGGTTTCCGGAGACCAAGGCATTCTATTGTACTTGCATCACAGTCATGGGCAGTGTGTGATTTTTTTTTCACTTTTGACTGGACATAAAAGACACTGCGCACATGCCAGGAGTCTTTAGCATCCGATGATAACATTGATTGCATTCTAACTAAAATTTTCATGCGACAATTTTAATTTATAAAAATAAAAAAGCATACATCGTTAGAGTTTAGTGACACAACCAATCCACTGAAGGACCATCAAGTCAATATAATGACACAAACACTCCACCAGTGACTGGAAATACCACTGAAGAGCCACCAAGCCAAGCTAGTGGCATGTATGCAGTTTATATGGTGGTGATAGACTTGATATATCTCAAACGTATAGGTAAAATGTTAGTTTTTAAAGCTCGACAGCTTCTACTATCCTTGTTGCATTTTTCATACGCCAACTAGATTGATGACATCTTTCATAAAACACATTTGATTTGATTAGTGGAAATATATGAGAGGAAATAATTGGGAAATTTTAATTAACGATCCTGTAAGCCTCTCTTACAACCCGTCGTGCGTCCTCGGAGTTCTTGTCAGACGTAGCGTTGTCGCAGGATGAAAATTAAATCGCAGCGGACGAAGTAGTAAGTACTTTATGAGTAGGTGTGTCGTGTTCTAAACGTGGGGCCCGCAAGTGGTCTGTACGCCTTTTTTTTTTTGGAAGTAGGAGGAAGTAAGGAGTACGTACGATCTGTACTTATGTCGCAAACAGTGAGTGAGATAATCATACGTGTATTGCAAGTGAAGCGTACGTTTTCAGAAATCGTACTTACGAAGTAAGAGACACGTAAGAGAAACGTAATAAGCACGGAAGTGGAACGCACGGATAATCAAAATAATATAAAAGGGAGCACCGAGTCTCTTCATCATTCACTGTTTTGGCTTCCAAAATGGCACTTCCAAGAAGGATGCGCCATCGACTTCTACAACTGCTAATGCTAGAGGAGGCCGAAGATCGTGACGCAATGCTTGCAGTGGTTGCTCGGGATCGCCTGCACTTTTATCGTGCTGGGCACGTGCGTCTGTTAAGCGTCTCTTCTGGTCCTCAAACCAAGTTCGGTCCCTTGGTTCTAAACTGTTTACCAGAGGCTCTGTTCTGGTCCTACACCTGTAAATGCCCGTCATGACGTGTTCAAACGTGTTCCCCAAACGTGTCCTTGGATGACTCTCCTTTGGGCCCCAAACTTTTTCTGCGGTATAGCCTTCATTTGGAAACCTGACGTTCGGGGGAGGGGAGGGGATTAATTACTTGCAGTTAAGCAACTCAGCTAACGGTCATTTGGTTGATTCGCGAGATCAACGGACTAGCTGGCTATTATTTCACAGCATAACTTCAAAGATATAAATTGCAGAGTAACCTCGTGTCGCAAGGATACTACTTAAAATATTTATTCCCTTCATGCTCCCCCTCCCCTCCCGGGCACTTGTAATTGATGCTCCGTATCTTGATTAATGTGGAAGAATTGAAAGATGAAAAGAGCGCCCAGACGTGCTTTTGACAGGTCGGGTCACGAAGTAACGGATACGGCATCTCAGGCCACAAAATATGGCTTCACAGGGCAGTGAACAAACTCGAGAAATCTCCCTCTCCGAAAAAATTCCGAGCATATATGGTCACCCTGCTTCCTACATGTCTTTACAACAATTCGGTATCATTATACTGAATTCTATTACTGTTCTATTACTGATGTTGTATTCAACCATCTAATAAAATCTGATATTTGAAGAAAATTTTATTGCAGGATTTTACAATATCACTACTTTTCACCATTGCTATTATATGGCGCAGAGTACAGGTTCCAAACAGGTATAGCTGCAAACAGTAAAATTGTTTGATATAAACAATAATGTTGATCATAATAACTAAACCACTCTGCAGGCTAACTGTCTACGGTTATTGCCAAGATGTGTTTAGTTTATAACACTCTCCTCTAGTTCGGGACATTTATAGAAAGTCTTAACCTCTCTCTCTCTCGTCATAAATCAAAGTCTCTGGCATCTAAAATTAGTATTTAAATTCAGGATATTTACAGAAATGTGTGAAAATGATATTAATTCGAGAAAGGGTATTTTATAGTGTTTGTAAATGTTACAAAGGAAATTACCAAAAATATATAGCTTTCCATATTGAGAAGACATGTTCCTCTACTCCCCCTATCCTGATTTCCTGGCCCGAGGAGCTACATGTTTGTCCTAAGCTCTGAAGCTCTGAACGCGCTTGATAGAAACCAGATGTGGAGATTTTATTGCCCGAGCCAGACTACCGACTTTTCAATCTTACAGGTTGAAATAAGTGTGGGCAGGGGAGGGGGTACATATCTTCTTAACCGACCAAGCTAGATAGTCACGAGACACGATAATGCACATCAGTAGAAAGGCTCAACTTGACTTTTTTTTTATTTCAAATCGTTATTTCATAACATAATAGTTGCTATGCCCTTATGCTCCCCCTCCCACCCTGAACTTATGTAATAAATATTCATTTTTTTTCATATGAAAGATGAGAGCGTAAATTAACTTATCCGAACCGCTCACGTTTTGCATAACGTTTTTATAATGTTTCATATTACCTTTAATAACTGCTGAATGCTTTCCCTGTTAGAGGGTACAATGACATAAACCAGTGAAAGTAATGGAACGTGTCTTATATTTATTCCGACATTAATCGAAATATATGTGGCGCACATTTTCACTTTTTGTTGAAAGTTTTCTCACATCGAACTTAATTAATTGGGTTAAGTGTCTACATCTGTAGCGGTGTTTTAAAGGGTCATAAAATGACCAATTTTTGAGATAGCGTTATGCGGGACTGAGGTAACTTTTATATAAACGGAAAATAATATACTGTATATTGATTCACAACTCTGCCTCCGGTCGAATGCAAGCCCGTAAGGACCAACCAAAATTAAATGCCCGTGTCTGGTGCGGGTGCTCTGTTTTCGTGGTTCTCTTACATAATTGCGCGGTGCTTCGTTAATCTGGCAACAAATGTCGCTACAGATGAGATGCAAATAAAACGGTATAATGATCGACGCGAAAATGCCTTTAGTCTGTTTTGATGCTCTCCGTATACGCACATCTACTATAATGTATAGGAATCGAAATTATCAACATCGAATTACCTAAAATAACCATCCAAAGATCATGTACATTACGGCGCGTACAAACAATTCGTTTGATTTGTGGTTTTTAATGAGCTTAAATATAGATGCTGTGATAAAGACCATTCAACTGAATAAGAATATATATATATATATATATATATATATATATATATATATAGAGAGAGAGAGAGAGAGAGAGAGAGAGAGAGAGAGAGAGAGAAAAAGAAATTGAGACGACCCTGGAGTCGAGACAAAATCTATGTTAAAGAATCCCGATTCTGTAATAACAGCTAGGTTTGTCTCTTTTAAATTAATTTGAATTGTGCTCTATAACAAGAGAGGCAGTCAATGTGAGGGTGGGTGGCACTTTTAATGGTGGGGATCGAGTATTTAA